AAGTTGCTGTCCTTTTGTTCTTCAGTCTAGTTGTGGAGGACGTCGCTTCACTGGCCCATGTTGGTATTATCATTGCACTCTTCCCAAGTGAGGCAGATCAGTCACGGGCCACTGGATGGCCGCGCACGGTGGCTCTTGGCAGCTCATGCTAGCTGCTGGCCGCTCATGCTGACTGCCAGCCACTCACGGTAGCTTTACGGCAGCCTGCTGCAGCAGGAGCTGCAGCCTACGCCGTCGACTCACAGCAGCCCAGCTCCAGGTCAAGCTATTGTACACCATCTTAGCTGTAGAGGGCGCAGCATCACTGGCCCTAATGTGGGATCCGAACCGGAGCCCTGCTGCTCAGAGCTGGTGTCCCAAGGCAGCTCTTAACCAATGCACCACTCAGCCAGCCCTCAAAGTTGTTTTCTGATCAGAAGCAATCTCATCACCTGGAAACTTATTAGAAATGAAAATTCTTGGGCCCCATTCTATTCCTGCTAAATCAGAAACTCTGAGGGTAGCATGCAGCAATCTATTTCAATAAGCCCTCCAGGGAATTCTGATGCATGCTAAAGATTGAGAACCCCTGGTCTAATGTAATAAACTTAATGGATAGAGCCAAGATCAGAACACACATATCCTAACTTCTATCTCTGTTCTTTCCATTATATCAGCCTCTAAGAAGTGTCTCTAAAATTGGAATTATAGATCATTTGAATTAAATCTGTTTTAATGTACTAATATTCAATTTCTCTTTCAAATTTAAAGAATAACAATACATATGTAGGAAACTTTCATTTAAATACAGTAAACTTTAAACCCTTGAAATCTGTAGATGGTTTTTCTTTATGTGCTTTTACCTACTCAGTTTCAAACTGAAGCATCAGGCTTAAGAAATTAACATTTCAAATTAGTATCAGGGTTATACATAAGAGTTAAGAATTTTGACCATTCTCCATGCAGTAACCTGTAATAGTAAAGAAAAATAGTTGTGAAATTAGTTAAATGGTCCCCTAAGTTTATTTTATTTATTTAGATGTTGTATTAAGGGTATAAACTTGATAAAATAAAATTTCACATTGGAATGCTTAGTCAGGTAAAATGTTCCCTATTTATGTCTGGATTTTGCTGATGATGGCATTTCTTGTCACTGTTACAGACTTAAAGGAAGCTCTGTGCCAGTTTATAGAAGAAGAATCCCTTAGAGATTATGACAGAAATGCTGAAGCATCGCTGGAAGCTGTGAAGTCAGGTGACGTAGATTTGCATCAACTGGCATGTACATGGGCCAAAGCTTATGCTGAGGTAAGAAAACAGATCAGACTAAATTTCAAGGATATTCTGGACTTGGATGAGGATTTTAAAATTTCTAAGATAATACTTGAACAATTATAGAATCCTTTTTTTTTACATACAAAAATTTATTCCATAATATATAATTTATATTGATGCTTGAGTGCATCCTTCCTATAACAGGGTGAGCACATAAGACACAATACTTTATGTAATGCCTTTATAAAACAAGAGGTTACTTTTGTATTTCTAACCAGCATAGGGTTGCCAGATTTAGTCATTAATAATACAGGACACCAGTTAAATTGAATTTCAGATAAACAATGAATAATTTTTTTAGTATAAGAAGTATACTTATTGCATACTAACTGTATTTTTTGTCTGGCAACAATAAACTAGTAGTTCATTTTAGTCTGGTTTATTTTTGTCCTATCACTTATCTTCACTGCTGTTACATTGTTACATAACATCATCATTTTTCCATTTAAATAATATACCTTATTTCATAAAGTCTAAGATGCCCTTAATCATAACACAGACCATTATTTTATTTACTACCAAGAAAGAATATCCCCACCAATTAAACTATGATAGAATGCCAAATGCCATCAGGTATAAGATGCATCCTGATTTCTGAGTGTTGTAATATGAAAAAATATGTATCTTAGAATTGATGAGATAGAGTATGTTGAGAATCTGTTATATGCCGTGTACTGAACTAGGTATTGGATGTAAAATAGTAAGAAAGACAAAAAATGAAATTTACATTTTAGTTAGAGAGCCAGATACAGAACTATGTAAACAGACAAATAAATTCAATAATTGCAGGCTATAATGAGTGAATTACATCCTATTTTAAGTAACTCAGTCTATGAGAATTAGAAATAAATCCATTTTAGGGGGTCATAGTTCTTAATCAAAGTAGTTTGCTCTGTGCCCAGAAAGGTTTCCTAGTTTATTTAAAAGGTAGCAGTATTTACACATATTATTTTAAATGTTTGCATTAAAAAAGGTATGTCTGTGATAATTACAATTAAAGAAACCTAATCTTTCTGTCTGCTGATAAGAAGGAATAAAGCTATAAGATACATTAAAATGATAATTCCACTTAATTTATTTGACCAATATTCTTTGTACCTCTAAAATGGATTGGGTATACAGCCTTTGCCTTCAGGAAGCTTACAATCTAGTAGGAAGATACAAAGAAATCCACAGACTGTTGTAACACCGACATCGATGAATTTCAAAGTCATGGAATGAATGAAATTGTACATGGTGACTATATACAATGAGAAGAGTAGATGCCTGGATAGAATCCTGACAAAACCGTGTATTATAATTGTGTATTGACTTACCTGTATCTCCTACTTGTGGATATCCACCTGGAAATGTCTACTTTATTACAGCTCTGGTATCTAGTACAGTGCCTGCAAATAATAGGGCTTTGGTATGTATTGGGGAGATGGGTGGCAGATAAATGAATGCGTGAATATACAAATAAATGAACAAACACTAATACATAAGGTATTAACAGAGGAAGAAGAACCTGCAAAGGAAAGAGAGGAACTGGCCAAAGAAGTAAAAAGAAGGCAAAAAGTTATGGTTTCATGAAAATTAAGAAAAAAAGAGGCATCAAGAAAGAGGGAATGGTCAATGGTGTCAAATGCTACAGAGAAGATCAAGCAAGGAAAGACTCAAAAAATATCCATTGTGTCTATCAAGTAATCTTCTTATGGCAAGATCAGTTTCAATGGATTCGTAGCAGCAGAAATTAGATTTCTGTGACTTTAAGAACATGTGGGAGTGTGGAATTAGAGAGAATGAGAATAGATAGATAACAAGAAGTTTGGCTATACACAGAAGAAGGATGAGGCACTTTCAAAATGGGAACACAGGGTCAGAGAATTGTTCTTTTAAGATGGTAGGATGACACTAGGAGGGATAGTGTCAGAACTCAAGTAGAGAATCTTAACTGGGCAGAGGGACACTTCTTTCATTATAGCGTAAAGGAGAAAGAAAAGGATGGATATAAATTAAGAAACTTTTACTGGGCCGGCCGAGTGGCACGATGGTTAAGAACTGGCTTGGGATGCCAGAGGGCCCCGGTTCGGATCCCACATATGAGGGCCAGTGACACTGCNTCCCCACTACTTGCTAACGCTACAGCTTTCGCCGCCTTCTTTCTGTCCCTCAAACACGGTCAAGCTCAGGGCCTTGGCTCTGGTTTCCTTTACCTGGATTGGCCCAGATTCTCATTGGCTAGTTCCTTCGTGTCATTCATGCCTCAGCTGATGTGTTATCTCCCCAGAGAGGTACATCCTAACTACCCTATTTAAACTAAGGTTTTCCTCCTTCTCACCCTCTCTCACATGTCCACGTTTATTTTTGGCCCCCGAACCTCACCCCTTGACTGGAACGTAACCTCCTTCCTGCACCTAGAACAATAATGTATAGAAGTAAATACACAGGGTGCCGAAAAAACTGCATACACATTTTAAGAAAGGAAAAAACTGTATTAAAATTGTAATACTCAATATATACCAATAACCAAAGATGAATACAAGTCATGTGTATACGTTATTTTTGGCACCCCCGATATATTTCATAACTTTACTAAATGAATGGCTGACTCTAGGCCTCCATAACTGAACTGTGGTTAAGTAGAGGCATTGTTTCAAATAGTATAATGGAAAGCACAGAGGGTCTGGAGCCAGGTGACTTAGGTTTGAGTATTATCCTGCCACTCACCAGCTTTGTGACTCAGGGAAATTGGCCTTTAGACCTAGGAGTTTAAATAGATAAAACAGGGGTACCTAACTGCTATATCAAAGAACTATAGTTATGAACAAATGAAATAACACAGAAGTAGGAGCTTGTTGCAATGTAAACTGCTGTTCGTACGCTGCCATACAGCACTTATTTGAATGGGGTGGGTAACAGAAACGGCAATAGCTGGGAAGGGAGGCAAAGAGAAGGAAAAGGCTAGGATGCTCGGATACTTCTTTAGAATGGGTGGCCCTCAATGAAGACTGGACAGTTTCCCAGGAACCGTCCATCCCATCCCACCATCGCTACCCTCCGTTCTTCTTTCCCCTCAATCGTGTGTAGGTGAAGCTGACTACAGCGTCTTCCTGCTCTTGTCTCCGCATCCCCCGCCCTGATGTCCTGAATTACTCACCTCACAGACCGCACCATGGCTCCTTACAAGGCTGGATACTTGCAGCTCTCTAGTTTAAGTTGGCAGCAGTGGCGGTTTCAATTCCCGCCCAAAAACAGACACCGGAGCTCTCCGCCCCCTGCCCCCAGTCCTCCAATGATTACCAGCCAGCCTGACGGGCGCGCATGCGCTCTGAGAGGAACTACTTTGTTCACGCCCTTCCCAAGACATTGCTCTTCCGCTTCCGAGCCACCAGAGCCGAGTTTGTATTTTGCTGCTACATTTTCGTCAAGACAATGGCTTTTTTTGGGCTGTCTCTGAAATACAATAACAGAAAAACACCTTCTTACACTTTTTAAGTGATTAAATTGAGGCAAGGTAGAACAAGGGGTCACTTAGACCGAAGAATTCTCTACGGAGGGGCAGGAAAGAGGAAAATGTGTGCGCGAATCTGCCGAAGCGGATCTGCTGGCTGTAAAAACAAGTCGGTAAGTCAGCTGATGTTCCCTAAGCCGCGGCTCTTTGACAGCTCCGAGTGTGCGGACCTCTGGACTTCGGAACTAGGGGAGGTGAGCCCAGAACCAACATTGAGGAAGCCCTGTTAGAATAAAGCCCCCTAATGGAGGGGCTGTGTCCTCTCGGCTTGAGCTTCTCGGCCCCGCAGTCTGCCCTCCGTTTGTGTGACTAATTTGAGCCTCAGAATCCCCACTCTGTTGGCGGTATGAGTTCTGCCCAGCCCTCCTCCTCCCGTCCCGTTTTGGCATAAGTATCCTTCCTCGATTTCACCCCTGCTAAAAAAAAAACAAAACAAAAAACAAGTGGGGAGAGGGAACTAAAGAATCAATTTGTTGAAACGTGGTAAGTCTAAATGTTTAACTGATTGAAACCAAAGCTAAAATATTTCTCCAAGGAAAGAACAGTAAGAGTGTTCTAAACAAAGGAAAAGCATTCCAAAAGGTTGGGAGTGGGAAAAGGTTTGGTATTGAAAGGAGTTCAGTATGGCTGGAAAATAAAGTTTGCAAATTTGTGTCTTGGGGAGTAGAGGTGCAGGTGCTTGGGAAGAAAACAAACAAACCTGGAAATAGAAGCAGAGGAATGTAAACTGGGGTAAGGAGTTTGAATTTTATCCTGAGACCAATGGAACGTTATAGAACTGTTTTAAGCAGATGAGTAACATCAGATATGAACTTTGGAAAGATTACTAAGACTTCAGTGTCAGAATCTTCTGTCTCAGATTCATAGTATAAGAATGGGTTTAATGCGGGGGTGGGGAGCAAAGCCTATTGACAGGGGAGTCTAGTAAGGAAGCTGATAAATAAATCTTTACGTGATGTTGATTCTTACTCTTTTTGACCAGATTTTCTTCTTTCTGAATATCATCCAGTTTGCCTTGTGGGGTATCTTGTACTTTCTGTTTTCCGTATATCTTCTTCCCTTTCATCTAGCCCCAATCTGATCTCGCCCAACATCTAAGATCTCCAAGGTCACTTCTTGGTCCCTGATATATTTCTTTGGCTTTGTCGCCACCAACTGTTTCATAAGCTCTGTATCTGCCCACCCATATATCTCTTCCCAAGAATTCTCTCTGCTCTTTTCTCCATGTTCTTTCCCTGTTTTTTGAGAATCCTGCTTAGGAATGCAAAGTACTCTATGGGCATAATTTTTTTTTTAAATAAGGCTTAAAAGAAACTTTTCATTTTCAAAAGAAGGACTTCATTTTCACCATGAAGATGGAAATGCAGGAATAAATGTAGGAAAACTAGCATAATTTGCTCAGAGTCATAAATAAAATCTTTGAGTGGTGGTCCATTTTCTCAGAAGTGGTACAGCAATAATGAAAACATCATGTTTTTTATGGACTTAGAACCTGCTGCTTTTTTTTTTCTGGTTCTATAGATAACCTACCAAAGAAGATGAAGAAAAACAGAGAACGATTCTGCAACAGAGAGAGGGAATTTGTATATAAATTCAAAGTAGGAAGTCAGTGCTTAGAACTGAGGGTACCCCTCCAATTTCCTATTCAAGAGAATGCCACTTATCTACATGGACGTCTGATGCTGCTGCACAGTTTACCATGCTTTATAGAAAAAGGTGAGGACTGATTTTTTTATACCACTTTATTATTTTCCTACAGTCTCTGTCATTAGAAGTTTCATATTAGAAAGCATAAATCCAACAAGCATTAGAAACAGCCATAAAACATGAAGTGTTTAACTGCTTTTAAGAATAAAAAGGTTCCCCAGACCTTTGTTTTATTTAGTGCTTTTTCTTATAACCCTTGCATTGTTTATAAGGCAGTTTAATATAAAAATTAGATGATATAATGAAAAACTAGTTACAAAATCTGGATTAGAACTTTTAACCTCTTAATTTAGTTGGTGGATTCAGAAGACATTTTGGCTATCACATATATTATTGAATTATATTGCAAAATGCATTGCCCCTTTAATAATCTGGTTCTCAATTCCTGAGCTATCATGGAGGAGAAGGAATACTAATTTTTTCAGAATGTTTGCTTACCTAAATTAATTCCATAAGGTGATTTGTATTAAACCATTTTTAAAAGTCTATGTTCTATCTCACAGATGAGAGATATATTTTAAATTGAGACTGTTAGATCATAGAAAGCTAAAGTTACAAGGGAACTTGAATCTTTCTAGCACAATGTCATTGTACAAATAATGAAACCAGTACATAAAAAAGTTAAATTATTCACCTAAGGCAGTGGTTCTCAAAGTTGTTTTCTTTTTTAAAGGTTTAATTGGGGAATTGGGGGAGGG